ACACATCACGGTAGCCCATTAAGAGTGACTACTTCCCTATAAATTAACTGTCCATTTACTCCTGAAGTAAAAGGTGTTTATATAATTTCAGATGCTTTGACAATCCAAAATAAAAATTTAATATGATTTACACTACTACATGCTCTCTTATTTTTTTCCCCCAAATCGACCACTTGTTTGGAAAATAATTACTGTTAAACAAACAACTCATATTGAATAAAAATCCATTCATTATCTGACTTATTAATAAAAACCATAGAGTTATACATGTTATATATCACCCAATCAACCTAAAGTCAATTGGAAATGCATAGAAATTTGACATTATTTGCCTTATTTGAAATAAATATATAACTTTCTTAGGTTCTTGAAAATTCAGTTGTGCCTGGTCCTCCATTAACGACTTTAGAGAGAATGAAAAATGATATTCTTAATCCAGCAACAAATGTATACAAAAAAAATTTACGAACTATTGTGCTTTCTATTCTGATACAGATAACCTTATAGAATTATGAACTAGGTATAATAACAATTACAAGTTATCAAAAATGACCTATGTCTAAACTTAGGAAATTGAGGAATTTTTAAATGCATTCTATAATTGCCTATTCATTTCTCTTAAAATCAGTCATTTTCACTTAATCTATCTTCTCACTAATCTATAAACTTTGGAACGTACATGTAAGTAGCATTTGGTCATTCCATATTCCACTAATATATATACACTTAAATAATAATTCTTTATCCTATAAAGTCTCAGATTACTATTATTTAAGGCATTTTTATCACTATTGCAGATCTTTTCTCTCATTTAAAAAAATCTTGAATGTTGTAAGAATAGTTTTATATTTTTTTGAGAAAGAGGATTCTCTATGCCTCAGTTTTTGAGAAAGAGGATTCTCTATGCCTCAGTTTACTATGTTAGTAAAGTGAGAAGGTAGTTTAGAGAAGCAATTTTTATAAGAATTTCTATCTCTAGCATTCTCTTAAAAAAACCTGAACATCTTTTCTTCCTTTGAAAAAAGCTTTTTATTATACAGGCTCAATCAAACTTGATTTGAGTCCATTCATTATCATGACATAGGTAGCGTTTCAATAAATCAACAAGAGCAAAGAGGATCTGTCTCAGAAAAGAAGTAAATTTTTAGAAAAGAAAGGTGACTACTTAAATTTTCTTTTGCTGGAATCCTACATGCAAATCTGGAAAGCGGTTCATGTTAGCCTTGCTATATTTCAGGGATAACTTAACTTGAATAATGTGCTCCTTCAATTTTAGTCACAAATTGAGGCAAACACAGAACCTAAAAATTAATTAAATAAATCATAAACAATCATACATACTATCTTTTTTTGCAACTTCATAATTTTTTTAAAACTCTAGGAATACCTTGCAGAGAGTTGCTTTTATAAAGTAGATTCTAGTTAAGTATTAATTATAAAGTGATCTGTCACATTAAGATATTAATAAACTCGGTTTCAGAACTAATAGATAATTTTGTGAAAGTGTCTATAACTAACTGAATATATATGTGCCACCTAAACCGAGGCTATCTGCATAAAACATGCAGGAAGATGCATCTGATAAGATGTCTATTTTTCTTGTTTCTCTGTTACAGACTTTGTCAATTTTGATTTAAAAAAACAAAGAGAAAGACAATATTAATAACTGTAGAAGACACTACATTTGTTATCAGAAGCATATCTGATCCTTTAACTGATTTCTGATTAAGAAACCACAGGGCCAAACTTGATCTCTTTGCAAAGTTGGATTAGCACATACTCTGGAAGCCAGCACCATTTCACCTGCTGATCCCAGGCACTCAAAACACTCCAGCAGGGCTCACTACCAATTGCTGACAAACTTTAAAAGTTCCTCGTAAAATTAATAAACTTTTTTGCAAGGCACAGTATTGGCTTAACCACCAAAGGTTGAACACCATTTTAATTAGTGAAAAATTATTCAATTAGATATTATTTTTTCTTTGTACTCAATTTCGCTTACATCTTTTTAAAACCGCTTAAAACCATCTATCATAACACAATCACGGACTATAGTCTATAAATTCCAGGTAAGTCTCAGGTTCTATCTATAATAAATAATGAACTAATTGAAAATGGAATCTATAAATTCTTGAGATAAAACATTTATATTAACCATGAGTAAATATATGAAACATGAAATTAAAGTTAATGTAGATGAATACATTATAAAAATAATGCTTACTCTTTTATACTAAATCATATTAAATACTAAAAATTTTGAATAAGTATGCTAAAGATTATCAAGTGATAGAGTTTGGATTTGCAAAGTAAAATAATATGACTCTGTGAATTAATAAATTTTCTTTTAATGCATTACTCCAACAACTTTTCTCTGCAAGGTTAGAAGCTTCTGGATCCTAACTACACATTTTTAGAGTCTAATTTATTATGAACCCAGAACTTCTTAAGGTTTTAGTGTTTTTAGTCCAAGAAATTATAAACGCTAGGTGAAAACAGGCTGTTTTAAATTATCTTTTGGGTTAGCAACCAAATCACACCACTATATCTCAGTGAAATCAATGAATTACAGTATAATGCTAGTCTATAATACTTCATTTAGAAACTTACTCATTGTTACTTCAATTACAAATCTAAAGGCCAGACACTTAGCTTAGTTTTCCACACATCCTGTATGATGTTTTAGGCTAGGGTTTCCTTTTTCAGCATCAATATACTATTTCCTTTTTGAAGTTTATTAAGTTGCAAGAATGCATACAAGAGTAGGTTTAAGTAAATATGTAGCTTCCAGCTAGGCAATAAGCAACTTGGTGAAACAAATATCAAATCTTATAATACGAATATCCAACAATCACATAACATTCAAGACATTTCGCCAAAAATGACAAACAGAAACAACGTATGGTCCTTAAACTTTGCTATTTCTCACATTAGATGGCTTTATAATAATACGGAAGGCTCTTTGTCCAACATTTATTTGGTCTGGAACTGAGATATTTTCTTTTTTAAGTGTGTTAAATCTATGCAGCTAGATTTAAAGAGAAAATTATGCATTACAGCTGTAAAAATTTGATCTTTCTGATATCCTTAGAGCTTGAAGGAAGGCCCAGTGTGGAAATGAAACAGGTAGCTTCAGCGAAATAATCCCTGAATACCTATGATTCAAGTGTCTCTCGAAATTACGCTTCATCTGTCTTCACTGAAGAAAGTATTAGTTTCTACATTTTTTCAAAAATAGCTGCCATGATGATACTTTTTCCCACATATTTGAACAAATAGCTGAAAAAGCTGACAGAGAAACAGCATATCTGTACTTCCCTAATCGGGTGACCTCCAGCATCACTGCAGTTGTAAGAATTTTAAAGGCCTCCTTTACTTAGGCAGATGCTTGAATTCCAAATAAAAAATAAAACCAGCAGAGGGCAGACCTGCTGACAGAACAGACCAATCCAGCTGGTGACCAGGTACCAAAGGTAAAATGCCAACTTTTGATGGATTCCACTTTCAAAGACTCTACTATTTATCCTTTAAAACGTAGAAATAAATGAACTCAGGTAAGTAGCATAACTTATTTCAAAATTCAAACATAGTTCTAGTGCGGCCCTGACTATATTCACCAGGAAAAATCACAAAGAAATAATCCACCACTGCCTGCTACTCAGGAAGGTGAACATCACAAAGTGTGGGAAAGAAATAACAGACGTGGTTTCGCAGAGTTCGGCCTCCGGGAGCGCTAACTCCCATTAGGGAGAACTCAGATCTTGGCACCTACCAGGCCAGACTCAGGTTTCTGCTAAAGCCTGCGCATTTGGGGTTGACAATTTCTTTCTGCCTCTGCCAATCCGCACCACTCTCCTTCCTATCCCCCACTTCTCTGTGCACTCCTGACAAAGCATGCTTTTCTACCCTAAGCTGTTTGGGCTCCCTTAACTCCAAAAGCGTTCTCCCGCCAGCCGTGTCTACAGCACCTAACGGACCGCTCCAGCCAGATGCCTTTGCGGGAAAGGGCGGGGGAAGGGGAGGGAAGAGGCGGAGGGGTGGAGTGAAGTCGCTCTCCCTCCTCGGGTACTGACAGGGCTGCAGTCTTCCGAGCAGGTCTGGTCATTGAATATTTGGTGGTGCCACGTAGGAACTTTTCCTTACCTCTCTCCTCCCATCCCACCCCACGCCCCCTCCCCTTCGCTCCAATCCCTATTCCTCCGCCCCCACCCCATTTGCTTGGCGAGTTTCATCATTCTCCAAGAGAACTGCACGTCCAACCTGCAAGAAGAAGTTGGGGGGTGGGGTGGGTCATAGAGAGGAGGAAGGGGCTGAAATCAGGGTGAAGAGTTTTCCCTATCTTCACTCGTTTCTTATCATCTGCCATTTTTTCCCATTTAAAATCTCTTCAAAATCACACACACACACACACTACACACACACACACACATACAGTGTTCTCAGTCTTCAAGATTCATTCCCCCTCTCTACTTTCCTTCATATCCCTAAAAGTAAAACAACTTGTTTCTCACTTTATTCCAGACAAAGAACTTTATCAAGGTTCATTTTATACCCCTCCTCTATATTTTCTCCTCAGCTCACCTTTAAAAAAGCACTCCATTAGAATCTGAATCTGAAGAAACCAGAAGATGTGTTCAAAGGGCAGTCTAAGGACCGTTCCTCAAACAAAAGCTTTGTACAACTGCCCCTGTGTTTAAGGTAATATTTTTCCTCTTTTCAAAGCCCCTGGAAAGTGGTGAAGGGCATTTCAGCAGTCTCTGTGCCTGACAGATCTTTTTTCCTGCTACCTCTTCTCCCATTACTGTCCCGCCTACATCCATCTCTCTCCAGGCTTCACTTCCAACCTGATGGCAGCTACAATCTGGATTTTATTTAACAGAATTGGGTTTTGGGGGGGGGAGGGGATTGGGGTGGGGGAAGGAAGGATAAAGAGGGGGAGGGGCACAGACTGAGAAAGACCGACGGCAATCTCCCACCTCCCCCAAACCAATTTTTCTTACCTCCTCTGACTTCTCTAGCCTGGAAGAGGAAAGTCAATGCGAGAGTTGTAATGGTGAAATCCCACAGCCACCGTTTCGTTTTCCACCTAGAGGACCACCGCTCCATCTCCGAGCCCCGCGCTCACAACCGTGAACTCAACCCACGAAATTGCGGCTGCAGACCAACGTCGTCCCTTCCAAGGTATCGTCGGGGATGTTTGCTACACAGCCATTGGGGAGGGAGAGGGGGGAAAAAGTCAAAGGGCTTTTTCTTTGAATTTGATGGTTTGCTTCCTTCCTGTCTGTCGCCCCCTCCTCTCCCTCTCGGTTGGCCCCGCCGGCCGGGACCCTCAGATCCGTCCTCTGCGGGGCCCTGCCTTCAGACTGACGGCAGATGAGGGGCTTCAACCAAAAATCTGAGAGGACTGCGTGCCCCTAAAGGCTTCATGCCGTCAGTGGGCCGGACGAGAGGCTCTGGGCAGCCCCCTCCCCCGCCCACTCCCCTCGCGCGCCCCCCTTACCCCGGGCGAAACTGACAAGCCGGCTGAGGGTCAGACCCAATCACACGCCTCGCGGGCGGCCCGGCGCCCGCCCCCCTCTCCTTTGCCCAAGAATCAGGTCTCCCGGCAAGCCCAGCCCACCAACCACCCCCACCTCCCCAGTCCTCTCCTCCCTCCTCTCCAACCCAAATCCCCGAGAAGAAATGGGAGGGAGTTACGGGGGACGCGTGCTTGGCTCTAGCACTTTGGGAATGAAAGGAATTGCAGGAGAGCCCCGGAGCCCACAGAGTTTTCAAGGAGCTTCTGTATTCAATAAAAACAGCTACTTGTCTACTTGCACCCGTCTGTTAGCCTCTCGTTCGTCGGCGGGGGAGGGGAGGAGCCCGCGTCTGTTCCGCCACACCGCTGGAGTTCTGGGCTGCCAGCCGTAGGTAACCTTATCCTTGTGCAAAAATGTGCTTCTTATAGCAGACGTGGAACCAGCGGACTCAACTGCTCTACCTGCTCCGAAAAGTATTTTTTTATTAATTTTTTAAACCGAGAATTAGAAGAAAAGGATGAAAGTGAGATGGAGGGACCCAAGAGGTCAAAACCCATGATCTTATAGGGAAGCTCTCCTGCGAGACCTGAAATTGACAGGTTTCTCTCTTGAATGTTTAAATTCTGCCCTAGCTTCATTCAGAGGCTCGTCTCTTTAAGAACTGAACTGTACTCTGAGGCAGGAGGAGAGAGAAATGTATGGGAGCTGACGTTGAGGGGGTGAGTAATTTAATTTTCCAGCTGATTCCGTCCTGAACCCGGATGAGGGGGCAAAGGGGGAGGAGAAAGACCAGGAAAGCAACTAGCAGAGATCTCCAAGCGTCTAGGCCCTCAGCAACTCAAAATGGGCCCCAGGAGCTGAAAATATGGTCATTCCACAGTGAAAATAACGAGAAGGGGCAGGTTTCTAAATTCCTTCTACTTGCCCCTCCTCAAAGTAATCCACTTAAACCTGGAATATAGATTCCCTGGTCATTTTTTCCCCCCATGTTTAAATTGTTCCCTCCTATCGACTCCTTTTTGTTCCTTAATGTTTCTTAA